AGGACCCAAGTGTTTTTATTTTCTAAGTTATTTTGATTCACTCACAGAATGGATCTAATCACTGCCATCAAATTTTAGCAATGAAATGAATTTAAGCTCAAATGAGCCTTAAATAAAAGCACCATAATTATACTTACTCCAAGGCCATGAGGATTTTTTTTCAATCTCCATTTGATTTAACAATAACTTTACATTATTGTTATACTTAATACTTGGGCTTCCCTTGTGACTCAGCTGGTAAAGAATCTGCCTGCAATGCGGGAGACCTGGGTTCAATCCCTGGGTTGGGAAGATTCCCTGGAAAAGGGAAAGGCTACCCACTCCAGTATTCTGGCCTGGAGAATTCCATGGACTGCATAGTCTATGGGGTCGCAAAGAGTCGGACATGGCTGAGTGACTTTCACTTTCATATTGTTATACTTGGAAATAATGGAAGTGAAAGAATAGATTTACCAAAAGATACAGAGCAAGACCCGCTTGCAGGGAATTCCCTGACAGTCCAGTGGTTAAGACTCCATGGTTCCACTGCAAGGGGCATGGGTTCAATGCCTGGTTGGGGAACTAAGCTCTCACATGCCAGGCAGTGCAGCCAAAAAAAGAGAGAGAGAGAAAGGAAAAAAAGAGAAAAAATCTGCTTGCAATGTTTCAAGATAGGAAATGTGGTACTCATTTGGTAAAAAAAAAAAAAACCTTTTTGCTAGTTTTAACCTGCCTCTTTACTTAATCCCAACAATTCCTGAAGGAGGATCAGTTGGGAGAAGGGAGTCCATGATGTCAAGGGCTGTACGTCAGATCCAGGTCTGATCACACCCAGTTTCACATGACCAGAGTGAGAACGCCTTAGAAACAGACAAAGCTTGCACAAGACTCACTCCACCAGCTCAGTTCCACCTGAGGGATTTCTATAAACCATGAAGACTTTCTAGCTCTTGCCTCCCAACTCTTGGCACTCACTGCAAAATGTCAGTGGGTCACCCATGCACTCTTGGCACTCACTGCAAAATGTCAGTGGGTCACCCGTGCACTTTTTGCCTATGAATTAAACTGTGTGCCTGTCCTCCACCCTAAATTCGTGTTGAAACCCTACCTTCCAACGTTATGGTATTTGGAGATGGGGCCCTTGGAAGGTAATTAGGGTTAGACGAGCTCATGAGGGTGGGGTCCTCATGATGGGCTTAGTGAACTCATAAGAAAAGATCAGAGAGCTCGTGCCCTCTCTCTGCCATGTGAAGATGTAGACAGAAGACCACCACCTGCAACCCGAGGAGAGAGCTCCCTCCAGAGGCCGACCCTGCTGGCACCTTGATCTTGGACTTCTCAGCCTCTCAAACTGTGAGAAATAAATGTCTGCTGCTCAAGCCTCCCAATCTATGACATTTTGTTATGGCAGCCAGAGCTAAGACATTATTCCTTGCTCTTTTGGAGAGTTTAAAAAAGGAAAGCTAAAAAAACAACGAACTGCTTCAGAAGAAGCTTTCACTGAACTAGAAAGGAAAGAGGAAAAGGGCTTTGAATTATTGCTGGAATGAAGCTAAGGTCAAGTTCCCTTGGCTAGGAACTAAAGAGAGAAAAAGAAAAGGTAAGAAACTGCCCCGAGCACCCTTATTCTAGGTTAGCCATTTCCGGAGGTTACTAAGAAAATGCTTTCTATATCCTATGACAAGTGCTAAGACGTGGGTATGGGATTCCCAGGTGTTGGCAGTGGTAAAGAATGTGCCTGCCCATGCAGGAGGCAGGGGTTTGATCCCTGGGTCGGGAAGATCCCCTGGAGGAGGAAATGGCGACCCACTCCAGTGTTCCTGCCTCGGAAATCCCACAGACAGAGGAGCCTGGAGGACTAGTCACAAAGAGCTGGATACAACTGAGTGACTGAGCACACACTCACGCCAAGACGTGGGTGTGCCCAATTATGGGAACAAGTCCCACACTGAGATTATTCCTGAGCTGATGCTGAAAGACAGTTAAGAATTACCAGGTGACGAAAGGTGGAAAGGGCTTTCTACATAGAAGGAACAGTATGAACAAGCTCACAAACTCTAAGCCACTGGGTATTAGTATTAACGGAAATGGAAAGTGTGAGGTGGGTGGAGGCCACCATTAAAGCCAAAGAAAACCTGAAGAGAGAGGAAAAAACCAATGGCTGGAAAACTCTTTTTCCTTGCAAGGTATTGAAAACAAAAATCCCATGGGAATCCTATTCACTTAAAGACCATGGGCAGGAACCTCCCTAGCGGTTCAGTGGTTAGGACTCCACACTTCCAATGTAGGGGTGAGGGTTTGACCCCTAGTCAGGGAACTAGGATCCCACAGCTGCACAGTGTGGCCAAAAACACACAAAAAATCCCCTAAACCATGGGCAGCCAGGGCCAGGACAATGGGGCGTGTAGTTTCATCAGATGTCTGAACTCGGACTTCAGAAGTGCTCACCTTAATCTGTTCTTGTGCCCCATCTATGAGACAGCCTCGCGACTCCAAGTCTCCAGTGTCCCCTTGTTGAACCACAAACTCACTGACTAACCTCAGGCCGGCCATCCCCCTCTCTGGATTTCAGTTTCCCCATCCCTAAGACAAAGGAATCACCTATAAAGCATTTCTCAGGGATTGCATTTTACTCTTTCACTTACAACTTTTTTTGAAAGGGACAGGGGGAATTTGATTTACTCCTTGACTGGTTCCAGTGAGAATTTTCAAGAAGCTTAAAAAGACAGTGTTACAGACTCAACATGTCTGTAGGAAGTAGATAAGAGAGATAAAGGGAGCAGGAAAACAAAGATAGGGAAGCAGAGATGAGGCTATTACGCCAAATCCATGCCAGATACATCTACCTTTGTGGTGGGAAGGGGACACACAGCTGAGGAGACGGCGGCTCAGGAGTTTCGCTGCAGCTGAAGCCAAGAAGGTCCATGATCAGACACACAACATGTGTCCCCAAGAGGCAGGAGAACGACTTCGTGGGAGAAACCACTCAATGTTAGTCAGCTTTTTTTTTTTTTTTTTTGTAATTGGAGTATAGTTACTTTACAATGCTGTGTTAGTTTCTGCTGTACAATGAAGTGAATCAGCTACATGCATACATACGCATACATACATCCCCTCCCTTCTGGACCTCACTCCCCACCCTCCACCCCACCTATCTAAGTCACTGCGGAGCACCGAGCTGAGCTCTCTGCCCTCAGGTCCCCACGAGCCATCTATTTCACACATAGCAGTGCACGCAAGTCAATCCCAATCCCCCAGGCCATCTCCCTGCCCCGTGACCACACATCCATTCCCTACGTCAGCATCTCTATTCCTGCCCGGCAGACAGGTTCATCTGTACCATTTTTCTAGACTTCACACATATGCGTTAATAGACGATATTTGTTTTTCTCTTTCTGACCTACTTTACTGTGTATGACACTCTGTGGGTCCATCTAGTTAGTTAGTTCAGTCGCTCAGTCGTGTCCGACTCTTTGCGACCCCATGAATCGCAGCACGCCAGGCCTCCCTGTCCATCACCAACTCCCAGGGATTACTCAAACTCATGCCCATCGAGTCGGTGATGCCGTCCAGCCATCTCATCCTCTGTCGTCCCCTTCTCCTCCTGCCCCCAATCCCTCCCAGCATCAGGGTCTTTTCCAATGAGTCAACTCTTCGCATGAGGTGGCCAAAGTATTGGAGTTTCAGCTTCAGCATCAGTCCTTCCAATGAATATCCAGGACTGATCTCCTTTAGGATGGACTGGTTGGATCTCCTTGCAGTCCAAGGGACTCTCAAGAGTCTTCTCCAACACCACAGTTCAAAAGCATCAATTCTTCGGCGCTCAGCTTTCTTCACAGTCCAACTCTCACATCCATACATGACCACTGGAAAAACCATAGCCTTGACTAGACGGACCTTTGTTGGCAAAGTAATGTCTCTGCTTTTTAATATGCTATCTAGGTTGGCCATAACTTTCCTTCCAAGGAGTAAGTGTCTTTTAATTTCATGGCTGCAATCACCATCTGCAGTGATTTTGGAGCCCCCCCCAAAAATAAAGTCTGACGGTTTCCACTGTTTCCCCATCTATTTCCCATGAAGTAATGGGACCAGATGCCATGATCTTAGTTTTCTGAATGTTGAGCTTTAAGCCATCTACATCTCTACAAATGATCCAGTTTCACTCTTTTTTAAGGCTGAGTAATATCCCTAACCAGTCAATCATAAAGGAAATCAACCCAGAATATTCACTGTAAAGACAGATGCTGAAACTAAAACTCCAATACTTTGGCCACCTAATGTGAAGAACTGACTCACTGGAAGACCCTGATGCTGGGAAAGAGTGAAGGCAGGAGGAGAAGGGGATGACAGAGGATGAGATGGTTGGAGGGCGTCACTGACTCAATGGGCATGAGTTTGAGCAAACTCCGGGAGTTGGTGATGGACAGGGAAGCCTGGCATGCTGCAGTTCATGGGGTCACGAAGAGTTGGACATGACTTGGCGACTGAACAACAACAACAAAATATCCCTAATGTTAGCCTGTCTCCGAAGTTTAAACTGTAAACACAGTTACATACATTCATATATATATACATATGTGTGTGTATATATATATAAATACTTTTTTTTTCCCCCCAAAATCAGAGATCAGTTAACTTAGAAAACCTGGGCAGCTGGCTAGAGTGAGGCAGTCCCCATGCAATTTACAAGGAGTATCCCCTGAATAATTTAGAAAGCTAAGAACAGAGCAATATGCACTGTGGTCCTGCCGGGGTGCCATCAAAGAAACCAGGAAGCCTGAGTGCAGGGAGCGATCGTGGACCCACCCTCCTCTGGGTGCAGTCAGGAGCCTATCGAATGCCCCCTCTGTCAAGGAGAGAGGGTTCAGCGGAGGCTACTACTTACTGAAGAAACAATGAAGCCTGTGGAACAGAGGCAGAACCACAAATACTTCTGCAATGCTACCAGGAAGCCTGGGCTCACTTTCTTTGCCTTGGCACTGAGCTGAATATTGATTATAAATCCTCTCCAACCATGACATTCAAGAGAACTGATGGCCAGCGCCCAGATCAGCAAGGCTCCAGCCTGTGGGCTCTTCTCTTTCTCCAGTAAGCGAAACCCCAGGCCATCTGCAGTGCAAAGACAGGGTCAAGGTCAGAGCCGGGAGGGTCTGCCGGCCCCAACACCTGGGCTTCCCAGGGACCAGCTGGAGAGGCAGCTCAGCTGTGTTTTCTGAGGACCGCACCCTTGCAGCACCTGCATTAGACTTGTAAAAATCGAATTATAACACAAATACAGTAAAGTGCACGACAAGCTCAAATTTTAAGAGTGGGGCTTGTTGAATGTTTACATCTTTAAGTACCCATGTAACCACCGCTAGAAAGAAAACAGACCCTTTCAGCATCTCACAAGGTTCTTTCCCAATCAATACATCCAAATCACTTTTGTGGCTATAAGCTCTTTTATCGCAATGTACTGGTCCATTGTATGGCTAGGCCAAAATTTATTTCTCCTTGACCGACATATGGACTACTTCCTCCAGGTTGAGGCTATTATGAGTAAAACTACTGTGGATATTCCTATTATGGATTTTTTAAAAAATAAGTCTTACTGACATAAAATGTACATATTATAAAATTCACCCTGTTAAAAGCATACAATTCAATAGTTGTTTAGTATGGGAAATTCCGTGGAGGTCCAATGGTTAGGACTCGGTACTTTCACTGCCATGGCATGCGTTCAGTCCCTGACTGGGGAACTAAGATTCCACAAGCTGCATGGTGTGGCAAAAAGAAAAAAAAAAGTTTTTTACTCTATTCACAGAGTCATGGGACCATCACCTCTAATTCCCTACCACTGAACATGCCTTGCTGCGGGTATATGTCTTCATTTCTTGTGGGTATAAACCAAGAGCGAGGCTGCCTAGTCATAACAAATCTTGTTTAGCTTCAGTGTTTTCTAAACCAGGCATTATTTCAAATCCTCACCCACACTTGGTATTGTCAGTCTCTTTAATTTTAGTCATTCTGGTGGGTGTGTGGTTCTATGTCAGATTTAAAACCACTTCTGTCTCAAACCCCCATTCTCTGACAACCGAACTAGCACAGACTGAAAGCTGCATTTCCCTACTGAAGGCTCATCCATCAACCTTAGGACCGCTGCTTCCTCTTTCCTTTCTTTTATAGAATAGACATCTGTGGCTTCCAAAATGTTAGATCAAATGATAAATTAGGTTCCCTGAGTTACTTGAAAAAAGAACTTTAAAACGTAGGATGCCACTTGAATCTGGTCATTTTAAATGCCTCTTGACACTAGATCGTCAAACTGGGACAAAGCCGAAGTGAAGGTTTTCTAACGATACAAGTCAGCAGCTCTCAAATTGTAGCCAAATCCAAAATACAAAGAGTACTTCAAACGTTTCTCCATCTGCAAGGGAAAAGCTTATTCTTTTCAATTAATATGAGCAAACTTTAACCGCTCAACATACATTATTAACAACAAAGGTCCGTGTAGTCAGACCTATGGTTTTTCCAGTAGTCATATACTGATATGAGAGTTGGACCAAAAAGAAGGCTGAGCGCCGAAGAATTGATGCTTTCAAATCATGGTGCTAGAGAAGACTCTTGAGAGTCCCTCGGACAGCAAGGAGATCAAACCAGTCAACCATAAAGGAAATCAACCCTGAATATTCATTGGAAGGACTGATGCTGAAGCTGAAGCTATAATACTTTGGCCACCTAACGCGAAGAGCTGACTCATTGGAAAAGACCCTGATGCTGGGGAAGATTAAGGGTGGGAGGAGACGGGGATGATAGAGGGTGAGGTGGTGGGATGGCATCACTGACTCTATGGACATGAGTTTGTGCAAACTTTGGGAGAGAATGGACAAGGAAGCCAGGCGTGCTGCAGTCCATGGGGTCGCAAAGAATCAGACAGGACTAAGCAACTGAGCAACAACAACAGTACATTATTTCAAATGATCTCTGTAATATTTCTGTGAAAGTTATACAATTATTCCCATTTTACAGATGAGAAAACTGATACATCCAGAGGCTAAGGAATCTTTTCAAAGTTACACTGTTGGAGAGTGGGATTTTTATCCAATCCTCTCTGTCTCCAAAATGCAGGGCTGTTTGTCACTTCCCTCTGCTGTCTCATCTTCTCAGCCTGGACTGTGACAGGTCACTCTATGAATCTCTGTTGAATATATCAACTTCCCACAGAGCAATTTGAAAAAATTTTTTTTCAGGGAAAAGAAAACCCTCATAGGAGGTGTGAGTATTGAAATGGAGTCATGATTATATAATTCTTAGAGTGAACAGTCAACTGTCTGAGCATAACTTGAAAATAAGAATAAGCATGACTGGCTTCACAAAAGATGCATCAGGACTTGACGGGATCTGAGTGGTTCACGTGGTGAAGCTCAACTCAGATGTCAGAGCGGGGATACACCAGTAGAAAAAGCACCATTTCCCTGGGCTCAGAACTGGGCTGGTTTTTCCCTTCAAGTGAGAGTCAGAGACATGCTCACCACCTCAAGGCTTGCATTCCTATCTTATAAACCCTGCTGTAAGTGGTGTCGGCACTCCTGTTCCAAACTGCCAAATGTATGCTCCCACATGACCATGCCAGAGTTTTTTACTTCTCTCTGTGCACCCTGAAAATGTTAGGATTTCGTGGGAGGGAGGTTCAAGAGAGAGGGAATATATATATACACATAGAGCTGATTTGTTTTGTTGTATACCAGAAACTAACGCAACATTGTAAAGCAATTACATGTCAATAAAAAATAATAAATGAAAAAACTCTGTAAGGGCCTATGGGAGAAGAATCTGAGAGAGTGGATACATGTGTTAATACAGGCACAACTGATTCACTTTGCTATACAGCAGAAACTAACCCAACACCGTAAACCAACTATCTGCGGGTGCATGCTAAGTAGTGTCTGACTCTTGGAGACCCCGTGGACTGTAGCTCTCCAGGCTCCTCTGTCCATGGGATTCTCCAGGCAAGAATACTGGAGTGGGTTGCCATGCCCTCCTCTAGGGGATCTTCCTGACCCAGGGATCAAACCTATTTCTCTTGCATCTCCTGCACTGGCAGACACATTCTTTGCCACCAGTGCCACTTGGGAAGCCCTAAATCAACCATACTCTAATAAAAAAAAAATTTTTTTTAAGATAAACAATACAGGATTGTTAGGATTTGGGAGCTCAACACTTTGAGAAGGAACGTTTTGGCAATTATTCCATTTCCCTTTTTGTTGGAATACGCTAGATATGTTCTGTCCTTGACAGATAGCTAGAACACTCAAGACATTAGAAAAGAAGTTCATTTCAAATCACTGAAGGAGGGGTATCTCTTTGTATCCCCTGCAACACCCCCAGAAGTCACATGACAAGAAGACAGATGTGGAAATGTAGCCAGAGACAGCCTGTTCCTCTCATAACCTACTACCCCAAACCCCCAGATGTGCACAAAAACAATCAAATACAATTACATATGTGTTCTAACACGTGGTCAAATGTGGTCTAGCTTACATAACATCTGCTTCCCAGATGGCGCCAGTGATAAGGAACCCAATTGCTAATGCAGGAGACACAGGTTCAATCCCTGGGTCAGGAAGATCCCCTGAAAGAAAGCATGGCAACCCACTCCAGTATTCTTGTCTGGAGAATCCCATGGACAGAGGAGCCTGGCAGGCTGCAGTCCATAGCGTCGCATAGAATCAGACACAAATGAAGCGACTTAGTACATCTTACATAATATCAGGCAATTAACTGTTGATTGTAAAAAACCTTTTCTGCCACACATTTGACTAACGAACTGGCTGTTTTGGTGTCCCATAACAGCTTGTGTTCAATACTGAACTGCCTGACCTTACAGTTTGACGCAGTCTACTTAGAAAAAAACAAAAACAACATCAGAAATCTTAACCTAAAGAGCCCCTGAGTCACTTTAAAGTGCTGATGGAGAGTCGGGGTGAGGGGGTCGGGGCGGGGGGAGCAAGTTTGGACTACTTTTTGTCAGGGAGGGCATTTTCTAAAGAAAAAAATGAGCAAATGACTATCTATGCGATGTTAGTTGCTCAGTCATATTAGTTGCTCTTTGTGACCCCACGGACTGTAATCCGTCATGCTTCTCTGTCCATGAAGTTCTCCAGAAAGGAATACAGGAGTGGGTTGCCTTTCCCTTCTCCAGGGGATCTTCCCTGACCTGGAGATCGAATCTGGGTCTCCTGCATTGCAGGCAGATTCTTTATCATCTGAGCCACTGGAACTTTAAGCAAATTCCACTTAGGGGGATAAAACAGGAGAACAGTATGGGGCAAGATCCAGTGGGGTACTTGGGGCCCCCCAGGGGCCAGGTCACCAAGATGTCTCTAAGGCACTGTGGGAGAGAGAAGTTATTTGCCCAAAATGGCACCAAGTAGATGTCTACTACGTTTTTCAAATCCACATGTCATTCTTTTCTGTTATCATGTGTCAAAACTTAGCTTTCCCAGGACTTCCCTAGTGGTCCATTGGTTAAGACTCCGAGCACCCAATGCAGCGGGCCTGGGTTCCATCCCTGGCTGCAAGTAAGACCTGGCACAGCCAAATAAATTTAAAAAACAAAACAACAACAAAAAAGTTAGCTTTCCCATAATGAAAGTTTGCTCCTTCTGATTTCCCAAATACTGCTTCATTTTATTAGCTCTGACTGCCAGCTCATTCTCCAGTGACACAGGCCTGAAGCTTGCCCTCTGGTTTGGGCACATACAGATGGTGAAGTGCACCCTGCTAATTACCTTGTGTCCCAGCCACACCCTGGGGAACTTGGATCTAATGATTGGGACAAAAGATCTTCATAAGGAAAAGTGAACTCAAACAGGATTCAGGGCACAGCTAAAGAAAGAGGCACATACATTATAAGAGCATAAGTGGGGGCAGTGGAAGGGACTTTACAATGTAGATACGTGCAGAATTGTACCTTTATTTCTAATCTGAGTGCACAAGCCTGCAAAGATGCATAAAATAAGCATTAACTCAGTCATCACTTATTGTATCCACAATGAACCAAGGAAACGTCAATTCATCCCCACAGTGGAGGCCTTGTAAACTTTCCCAATTAACTGCTCTTTGTATTG